TGTACTCTATATTTTATCAGTAGTGCTGCCAGGAAATGTGCTGGTAATGTCCTGGAAATGCCAAAACTGTGAGGTAAGGTAAGTGCATGCATATTGTCACAGCTATGTATGCTATAGTATGTATAAGAGGGCGAAGAGCACCAGAAGTGCTTGCTCTCTCTCAATAATTCAATAGAAACAACAGAGCAAATTTGTCTTGTGAGATGCTGATCACAGTCTTTTGATTCACACATCAGCATGAGAGATGGCTGTACTGTTGGATGCAGACAGTGCTGCGTTTCAGCAGGGCCAGAAACGGGGTGGCAGCTTGCCAACATGTTTCTCATCTTCCAGCCAAGTGGACAAAAGTAAGCCACAGGTGTGCCCTATCAGGACACTTGTTTGGTTACACAGCTCAAAGTAATCACTCTGTTACACCTGATCTGCAGAAGAGCTGTGGAGCAGCTATCACATCTGTGCTGGGGAGACAACAAAGAGTTTAATGAAGGAGTCCTGGAGTAGTCCTTCATGGAAGCAATGGAATCAATCTAAGGGATTGTATACCAGCCTAATGACATGGCACTGTTATAACCATTGACCGATAGTTTATGTCAATCTTCCTTACAGGAGGTCTGTTAGATCATTTGACATCACAGTAGGCATAGGCTGATATGGTAGCAGTAATATCATGGTTATTTTAGAGTTGTAAAGGCTGATGATGGCCAGGTGGATCAAGCAAAGTGTTACCTAGACATCCACATGGGCTGAATGAAAAGCCAGCCCTGGAATCAATTTAAATAAATACATTAAGCCCTAATCTATGGATTTCACATGACTAGGAATACAGATATACATATATTGGTCACAGATACCTAGGTAGGGCATGGAAACCAGTCAGTATCTGGTGTGACCACCATTTGCCTCATGCAGCGTGACATATCTCCTTCGCATAAAGTTGATCAGGCTGTTGAATGTTGTCCCACTCCTCTTTAATGGCTGTGTGAAGTTGCTGGATATTGGCAGGAACTGGAACACGCTGTCGTACATGTCAATCCAGAGCATACCAAACATGCTCAAATTGTGAACTATCTGGTGAGTATGCAGGCCATGGAAGAACTGGGACATTTTCATCTTCCAGGAATTGTGTACAGATCCTTGCGACATGCTGAAACATGAGGTGATGGCAGCGGATGAACGGCACGACAATGGGCCTCAGGATCTCGTCACGGTATCTCTGTGCATTCAAATTGCCATCGATAAAATGCAATTGTGTTCGTTGTCCGTAGCTTATGCCTGCCCATACCATAACCCCACCGCCACCATGGGGCACTCTGTTCACAAAGTTGAAATCAGCAAACTGTTTGCCCACACGATGCCATACACAGTCTGCGGTTGTGAGGCCGGTTGGACGTACTGCCAAATTCTGTAAAACGACGGCTTATGGTAGAGAAATTAATTATCTGGCAACAGCTCTGGTGGACATACCTGCAGTCAGCATGCCAATTGCATGCTCCCTCAAAACTTGAGCCATCTGTGGGATTGTGTTGTGTGACAAAACTGCACATTTTAGAGTGGCCTTTTATTGTCCCCAGCACAAGGTGCACCTGTGTAATGATCATGCTGTTTAATCAGCTTCTTGATACGCCACACCTGTCAGGTGGATGGATTATCTTGGCAAAGGAGAAATGCTCACTAACATGGATGTGAACAAATTTGAGAGAAATAAGCTTTTTGCACGTATGGAAAATGTCTGGGATCTTTTATTTCAGCTCATGAAGCATGGGACCAACACTTTCCAGTGTAGTATGCAGCACAAAAGTCCTCATGAGATGGTGTATAAAGTTCATGGTAGAATGCTGCTTTATTAGCATTGTCAGTGCGTCCAAAAGAGGGCAGCTCAAGGCTGTGTTTTCTGTTTGTGATTTATTTGGAGATGTGCAGCAGAAACACTGTTGACATGAGCTTTATCACTCTATTTACTCAGAATGCTCCCCAGCTTCAGATGATAGGATGACCTTGAAGACTCTTATATGAATAGATGGTTTGTTGCTTCCTGGCAGAAGCAACAGTAGCTCAGTTGGTAGAGAATGGCGCTTGCAACGCCAAGGTTGTGGGTTCGTTTCCCATGGGGGGCCAGTATGAAAATGTATGCACTCACTAACTGTAAGTCGCTCTGCATAAGAGCGTCTACTAAAATGTAAAATGTAATTGTCCTCCGCACCATTTCTCAGTATTTTTTAATAGGAGGGGCAATTGGAAGGATGCAATAATTGTTTTGAACAACAACTCCCCCTTTAATTCATTCAGCATCCTCTAATGGAAGAGAAACTGCCACTACATGGTACAGTTCCATTTGACAGCAAGATATACTTGCAATTTAGCTCTAATTGCAGATTAATAGGAATACCTACAGTAACGCAGTAGAACTACCACTGTGTCTTTTAAAGTAATGAGAATAGCTCAGAATATCACATACGTTGGAGAGCCATTTTATCCTATACTAGCATGCTGGTAACTACAAGGAGCTAAGGTGCTGCAGCACAGATTAATATTAACGGTAATTTTTTGTTAATTTTTTATTTATTTAACCAGGTAATTTGATTCCAACATCCCTGTCTTCAGCTGCAGAATATCCCACCGGCCAAGTGTCAGTGCTTAGAGAGTGGAGCAAATTAGCCTGGCAATTTTAATTAGCGATGCTCTGCTTTCTAAAACATCCCACCGTCTCGCTCTTCCGCTTGATGAGATATCCACTGTGCACATACTAGAGAAAAAAAGAAGGAAAAACCGTGAGTCACAAAAGGAGGAACTGTATGCATGGGAGAAGTGGTAGAGGGTGTTGTTCCCAATTTCCGGGTGAATCTAAGAACATTTTGGTGGGGTAATTAAACTGAGCAAGCTTCAAAAGACTCCTGATAAGAGGAAGTACTATGGCCTATAGCTGGGAGATACACTAGGTCTGGTTGTACTGCTGCTTATTACAGCTCAGAGGTTTATATGATCACGATTCAGTGTGTAGCCAGTGTTAAATGGCTATGTTTTGAACAGGATATACATGCATGACTATCTAAATAGCTATTTGTGAGAGAGAGAGGCATAGCTGAACAACTGATCATGGTCAGTGAAACCAGAAATAACAAAATCATTTAATTTTTTAAGTATACATTATAATGTAGTATAAAACTGCAGTGTAGCAGGAATTTTCTGCCAGATCAGTCTAATGATAAATTCAGTAAACTGATTCAACCCCCCTTGGGGACTGCAAGTTCCTAGTTGACCTTCAGGACCTTTAAGTTGGCCGCCCTAGATGTTCTCTCAATCAGGGGCCCACATAGCCAAATTATTCTTGACATGTCAGCCTGAGGTCAACGTGACTTGACTGACAACAAGTCTGACAACACATAAAGACCATGAGAACCAACCTCATTACTGCTTCTCTACCTACAGTGCTGTGTAGGCTACTGCAGACCTGGGTCATACATGTTTTTTTATCCATTTCAACTAACCTTGAATTCTGTCCTTGTAGAATTCTGTACTTATTAATAATAACTTATCTGTAATTACCATTATCATTATTGTGGAGCCTTGTTTGAAAATAAAGTAAATAGCTGTACATTGTACTGTATACATTTATTTATTATCCATGCAAAAGTTACAGTTCATTTTGAAGATAGGACAGTTCAGTACACTGCTGCCATTCCCTAAGGTAATGCCCCAGACTTACTGTATCTATAAATAGGGTTACTGGGCTGCATCCTCCCAGCCACACAGCTCCTTATGCATGCTGCTGTCCCCCTTAGCATGGCCTGCCACAGCACTGAGCCATCCACCATGTCCTGGTCCAGCATGGAGCGCTGGTGGTGGTGAGCACTACACTGACTGAATTACATCAGCCTTCGTTTCCGCCTCAGCTAGCTAAACCACCGTGCCTCTTATGTCCCCAGGTCAGCCTGAACATCCTTGGCCAACACAGACTGAACAGTGTTTTCTAGAGTTATTATTAGAACTAGGGCCTGGAGTTTTTCCTGGTCAGGTTATGTGGTAAATATAACACAAACTAACCAGCCTATTCCAAATATACAGATCAGTGTTGAAATTCTGTGGATGCCTGATGGTAATACTCAATCAGAATCATATTATATAAGTATACGATGAGTCATATGGTCCAAAGACAGTTTTTGGTTTAAGATGCTTGTCTTTTCCATTTTCACTACATTTAATCATCTTCCTAACCACAAAACAGCACAGTGCCATAGCAGACAGTTTTCCCTTGGACCTGTCTGTACCTCCTCTCCAACACATCAACAGCTGCTCACAGGGAGGCTGCCCAGCATCATTAGGTAAGGAGGGTGACTGAGCCAAGGAGGTCAGCACCTTCCTACTCGTCTGAATCACTTATTTTACATATCATTAATTCTGAATTGCTAATAAAAAGGGCTGGGAGCTTATTGATAGGTTTTTATCGCCTCGCTTATTTCATGTCTTGTCTGGCTTGCAATACTCTATTCAATTATTCATAAGTTAGCTACCACTATGATGCCTTGCTACCATGCCACACCATTCTTGCCAAGCTGCTGAAGCAACTTAAATATACTGATACGTTTCAGCTGGTAGGTTATGCATTATAAAATCCATTTACCAGTTTGGTTATGAATGAGACAATTTGGTGGCTTCTGCAGGTTTTTCATCAGAACCTTGCTATCACTGTGCTGACATGAAGATTGCACACTTGGCTATTTGTGGATAAGTGAAACAGAGATAGAAGGGTTTTAAGTGCTGGTGGGTGAGTCTCCTCTCCCTGCCTAAGTGCTGCATGTTATTGCTGTTTCACCAGGAGAAAGACTTAACTTGGCTCAGACAGGACATTGTATTAAGCCTAATAAAGTAAAGGATTGCAATGGGAATTGTCACTTCTTCAGGGAAATGTGCAGTATGAACTGTAGAAGCTGACATAAAAAATGAATTTTAGAAGTACTCGCTGACATATTTGCTATCAGTGCAAAATGCAGCACACTCCAACAGCCAATAATAATAGGGGGTTTCTGTGTCTTGGTTTGTTAGCGTGAATTTGTGTCAGTGCTTCTATAGTGTAATAACAAATCAAGACATTATGCAATGAACCAAACTAAGCCTACTGAAAGATTCACATGACATCATCTGCAGTCTGTAATCTTTATTGGAGAGCAATGCCCTCTACTGTTTGAAAGTGTTGCTGCAGGTGGTAATGTGCATGTGAAATAGAAAATAGTTGAATCTAGAGTACTTGTGTTTATCAATTACATTTGTGATTAAACTATACTATAGACCTGTACATACATAGTTTAATGTTAGTATTTGCCTCCATCCAAAGATATTTATGGGCATCCACTAAATTAGATGGATTGGGTAGTCCTCCAGAGATATAGGCCTAATAAGACGATCCCACATTGAACATGACATAAATGTTTTCATCATTACAGTGCTAACATGTAGAGAAAATAGAATATTCATGTCAATTGGTGTATGAATACGACATCACCAATACATTAATCAAAGTAATTAGTGTCAGTGAGCCGTAGTTAAACTACACTGTGATAACATTAACCTGACAGAGAGAGAGGACACTGGAATGGAAAATGGCACCCCTAACTGCATAGGATAAAAGTAACGTCAGGGGTCCTCTCTGCACCAAACCAAACAATGCATTAGAGCTGCTGGGGTCTGATGAGGACACTGTGATGAGGACACTGCTGGGTACAGATAAAGCAGACATTCATCAGACAGTCCTGTTGCTGCTGCACAGCCTTCTGGGAAACAAATCACCCTGCATCATGCACTCTCACTTGCACAGCCAGCACATTCACGATCTCAGTCTGCCGTTACACTAGCCAGAGATACCTTGCATCTAGCACATCTCCCACTTACAGCTAGTCAAGACTGTACAGATAGCTTGGTTATCTTAGCACCTCAACACCAGGGTTTGTATTGTGCCTCAGATGGATATGCTTGATTGAGTTTGTTGTTGGCATGGACAGCCCCAGTCCCAATTAGTGCTGCATAAATTGCATGAAACTGTAATGGTGTTCTGTAAAAGGAAAAAGAGAAGCTGATGGCAAGGGACACAAACAGGAACCAGGGCTACACTTAAATTCATTGAAATTATTTTAATTTCTCATTAGTGTAGCTAATCATAAATGCTTATATACACACACACACACACACACACCTACCTGTGTATTGTTCTCTGCTGCAGTCCAGGTTATTTTTCTGGAGAGCCAATTGGTCACTCCTTTATCCAGCTAGTGGAAATGTATATAATTAAAACGTAAAAGGGGATGCACTTTCATAACACTAAATATAGTGACTAAATTGAACATCTCTCCCAGTTAGGCCTGACTTTCACTTATAGTCAAAACCAGGCGATGACAGCTTCTGATGGACTGTGATTCACCAGGTCACTAAGTAAGAGCCATCTGATCATCTCACAATCTGCTCCTGATTCTCTGGAATTAGTTTTCACATACTGTCACAATTTCTCCATTCCTTAATGGAGGACAGACGGCCCACATTTATTTTCTTTTTAAGTTCTTTCAAAACTGCACATCCCAGACACTATGAACGTTTTAAATATCAATATAATTTATTGAATCAACAAAAAAAAAAAAAACTGTCAAAGAAGATGCTGATCCATGTCTTCATAAACAAAACCATTAGCAAGACTACAGAACAATCAGCAGAGGTCAACCTCATGTCTCCAGTGCTACAGTTCAGAGCACTCAGGGTCACAAGCCCGTTTTGAACGAAGCTATCCATTCATGTGATTTTCCTGTCATGCTGTGAGGCCCCGGGAGAAAGCACATTGACTTATTGATTAGACTGGGATCACAGGCCACACGCCCGCCTACCTTATATGAACTCATCACAGTCAGTCAGCTTCTCCTCCGGCCGGAGCCTGTCAGCCAAAGCTGAGAAATAGTAACTCTCAAGTATAAGCTAGAGGACATTCCTTTCCTTTTCTGAGTCAATTAACATTAAGCAGATCCATGCAATCTTAAACAATCTAATGCATTTCATCTTGGCCAATCAAGACCTCAAGTCATGCAAGGTTCAATTTCAAAGTGGGAACATTGCTGTTGTGTCGACAATGTTGTAATGTTGCAGTGCAATGTTATAGACATTAAGAAAGCACTAAATCATCCACCCACATAATACCATCAAAATGGAGTTACATGTATGTAATGAAATGTCAATTAGTCATGAAGTGAATAAAAAAACTAAGATTTGAGACTTGAAAAGTTCAAATCTCAAAAGAGAAAAAGTAAATTAAAATGCAGCAACAAAGTTCCTAGTACTGTTTGCGGACCGTCACTTTAGTGAATTGTCCCCTGTGGCTCTGGAATGCCCCACCCTGTCCCCCCTACTCTGCATCGTCTTCTGAGCTGTGGACCACTGCAGCACTCAGAGTCTGGAGGTCCCCAAGCACTGACAGTAGCGAGTCTAACATGGAACACACAGAACAGTTCACTGGTTACTACTGTGTGTCTGTAGACATATGTTATCTTTAGTCAAATTACAGTTTAATTCTGTTTTATAAATGTGTTATAAACATGTTATGTATAACGGTATACACAGAGTATACAAAACATTAAGGACACCTGCTCATTCCATGACATAGACTGACCAGGTGAAAGCTACAATCCCTTATTGATGTCACTGGTTAAATCCACTTCAAATCAGTGTAGATGAAGGGGAGGAGACAGTTTAAAGAAGGATTTTTAAGCCATGAGACAATTGAGACATGGATTGTACAGTACCAGTCAAAGGTTTGGACACACCTACTCATTCAAGGGTTTTTCTTTATTTTTTACTATTTTCTACATTGTAGAATAATAGTGAAGACATCAAAACTATGAAATAACACATATGGAATCATGTAGTAACCAAAAAAGTGTTAAACAAATCAAAATATATTTTATATTTGAGATTCTTCAAAGTAGCAACCCTTTGCATTGATGACAGCTTTGCACACTCTTGGCATTCTCTCAACTAGCTTCATGAGGTAGTCACCTGGAATGCATTTCAATTAACAGGTGTGCCTTGTTAAGTTAATTTGTGGAATTTCTTTCCTTCTTAATGCGTTTAGCCAATCAGGTAGGGGTGGTATACAGAAGTTAGCCCTATTTGGTAAAAGACCAAGTCCATATTATGGCAGGAACAGCTCAAATAAGCAAAGAGAAACGACAGTCCATCATTCGCTATGATGAAACTGGCTCTCATGAGGACTGCCACAGGAAAGGAAGACCCAGAGTTACCTCTGCTGCAGAGGATAAGTTCATTAGCGTTAACTACACCTCAGATTGCAGCCCAAACAAATGCTTCAGAGTTCAAGTAACAGACTCATCTCAACATCAACTGTTCAGAGGAGACTGCGTGAATCAGGCCTTCATGGTCAAATTGCTGCAAAGAAACCACTACTAAAAGACACCAATAAGAAGAAGAGATTTGCTTGGGCCAAGAAACACAAGCAATGGACATTAGACCAGTGAAAATCTGTCCTTTGGTCTGATGAGTACAAATTTGAGATTTTTGGTTCCAACTGCCGTGTCTTTGTGAGACGCAGAGTAGGTGAACGGATGATCTCTGCATGTGTAGTTCCCACCATGAAGCATGGAGGAGGAGGTGTGATGGTGCTTTGCTGGTGACACGGTCAGTGATTTATTTAGAATTCAAGGCACACTTAACCAGCATGGCTACCACAGCATTCTGCAGCGATACGCCATCCCATCTGGTTTGGGTTTAGTGGGACTATCATTTGTTTTTCAACAGGACAATGACCCAAACACACCTCCAGGCTGTGTAAGGGCTATTTGACAAAGAAGGAGAGTGATGGAGTGCTGCATCAGATGACCTGGCCTCCACAATCACCCGACCTCAACCCAATTGAGATGGTTTGGGATGAGTTGGACCGCAGAGTGAAGGAAAAGCAGCCAAAAAGTGCTCAGTATATGTGGGAACTCCTTCAAGACTGTTGGAAAAGCATTCCTCATTAAGCTGGTTGAGAGAATGCCAAGAGTTTGCAAAGCTGTCATCAAGGCAAAGGGTAGCTACTTTGAAGAATCTCACATATAAAATATATTTTGATTTGTTTAACACTTTTTTGGTTACTACATGATTCCATATGTGTTATTTCATAGTTTTGATGTCTTCACTATTATTCTTCAATGTAGAAAATAGTAAAAATAAAGAAAAACCCTTGAATGAGTAGGTGTGTCCAAACTTTTGACTGGTACTGTATATGTGTGCCATTCAGAGGGTGAATGGGCAAGACAAAAGATGTAAGAGCCTTTGAATGGGGTATGGTAGTAGGTGCCAGGTGCACTGGTTTGTGTCAAGAACTGCAACGTTGCTGGGTTTTTCACACTCAACATTTTCCAGTGTGTATCAAGAATGGTCCACCACCCAAAGGCCATCCAGCCAATTTGACACAACTGTGGGGAGCATTGGAATCAACATGGGCCAGCATCCCTGTGGAACACTTTCGACACCTTGTAGAGTCCATGCCCTGACGAATTGAGGTTGTTCTGAGGGCAAAAGGGTGTGGGTGCAACTCAATATTAGAAAGGTGTTCCTAATTTTTGGTATACTCAGTGTATAAAGTGTTATATATACACACTTGCATTATATTATAATACAAGAGGGTATTCATAGGAAGAGACAATGTCACAACATGGTGTGTAGGTGGAAGTTACCTCTGGTCTGTGGCTTGTCTTTGGCTCTCAGAGTGTTGCTCTTCCTTAAGGGTCTCTGCTGCTCCTCCAAGGCCACAGAAGTCTGAAGGGCTGTGGTCCGAGCTGCCTTATACTCACTCATCAGACCCCTCTCACGTACAGTCGCCTGTGGGACACAAATTATACAAATACTGAAAAAGGATATGTGTAAGAAAGTGTCTTGACAGCTGTCAGTTTGACAAAAAAAATAACATAACATTTCTTAACATGGTAAACAATAAGTCTGGCGGGGGCCATCCTTCCAAATCTCGTCTTGTTGACTCTTGAACTTCAGTACAGGATTTTGCGTTTGAATGGAAGCACTGGCATTCAACGCTCACATTTGATTGGCTCTGAGAAGAAATGACGTTCCCCGTCAGGAGAGGCTTTTCTTTGTTTGTCATTTTCATTTTTTTCAACCATATCGGACAAAGATTAAGTAGCCTATGTAGCGTTGTTTTTTGTATCTTATGTTAGCTTGCTTGTTGGAAGTCAGAAAAATTTTCAGAAACACCACCTCTGTTCAGAGCTCCAACCATGCGAAATACTAGTTTCCATCTAGACTAACACTAACCCCTTTTTAGCGTCTTTCTGCTGACAAGTTCACCAGGCTTTCGGAACGTACAGTATGTGAGTGAAGCCTGAAGTCCGTGGCTAACTTACAATAAACCAAGACGTGGAAAAAAACTATGAACTCACCAAAAGTAGGTTTCTGTCCTTGTCCTTTTCTTGCAGTAGTTTCTGTAGATCCTGGATTTCTCTCTTGGTGTGTTCACTCTGAAGGCGTTGTGCTTCTCTCTCCTGCTCCCGCTCTCTCTCTGCCTGTCTCTCAAACTGACGCAGGGCCACCACTATAACAGACAGACAAGAGGCCTAAAGATCCAATCTGTACAGCAGTCCTAGCTATATATTTACACTACAGTAAATTTCTGTAGATGCATATATGAATCCCTCTCAACTCTACATGACCCTTTCACATGTTTATGTTGAGACGTACATTATGTGAAGACGTGTTGAATGAGTCATGTGTATGCTACCTGCTTTGGTGTGTTCTCTTCTGGCCATGTTGAGTTGAGATTCCATCACTCTAAGCTGCTGAGCACAGTGATCCTCTGTCTCAGACACTCTCTCCTGCAGGGCTGATGGGACACAGTCAAACACAGAGGGTGTAAGGAGAGATACAGGTACAGAACATTCTGTGACATGTCAACAATTCGGTCACATCGATTTTAAGAGAAATTGAAATTTGATGAATAGATCGAAAAATCCTTGCAGAACATAAGATATTTTAAATTCATACTGTAAACTGAATTGACTTAATTACAATGGGATCCAGCCCTAGCAATGCTGGCATTGTACACTTAAGTCCACCCTGACCCCTCCCTAACCTCTGTCACTGGCCTCCTGTTGGCTGATCAGCTGTTCATGGAGCTGCTCCAGGTTGAAGTTGCTCTCCTCTAGCTGTGTGTGGGCCTCCTGCAGCCTCTGCTGGGCCTCCTCTCTGGCTGCCTGGGCCTCCTGGGCCTCTCCCCTGCTTCGCTCTGCAGCCTGCCTCAGCTGCCTCACCTCACTGTCGACTGGAGAGGAGGGGGAACACAGATGGTGTACTGCAGGGGTGTCAAACTAATTTGCCCAGGAGGCCGCATTCAGTCTTCAACGAGGTCCAAAGGGCCGCAATGAAAATTGGTTATATTTCCTCGCCGTCAAAATATCCAAATATAGTCCTCTATCCATAATTCGGGGAATTTTCTATGCTCCCTGACTCTCTAGCTTTCATTACAGTGATTATTAGCGAGCTGGACACAGTCAATAAACTGTATGAATGTAGGTCCATTATCATTACTACACAGTTCCGATTTGGTTTTGGTTATTTAAAAAAGTATATTGACTTCGTTCCCCCCGCGGGCCGGATTCAAACCATCCGCGGCCAGATTGGACCCCCTAACGGGCCGTATGTTTGACACCCCTGGTGTACTGTATTCTGAGTATTGCTACTACCACATAGTCAGCATTTACAAAGACAAGGTGCATGCAAATCTACTGTAGGTACAGTTACAGGGTACAAGGAATTCATGCAAGTCTGAATCTCTCTGAACAGATGACTAAACAGCGTACACTGCTCACGGACATCAGCCAGGGCACTCTCAATAAGCTCGGGGGTTCTCTTGAGCTCCTGCCTGAGCTTGTCTCTCTCCTCACACGCCGAGGCCAGCTCTGCCTGGAGCTCTGTGACAGCGGCACTGCGAATAGAGAGAGAGGACAGCACAACTAGTGAGGCAATGGGAGATGTAGTGGTGAGGACAGAGGCAATAGTCTACAAGTCAAGGCCTTTTCCTCATTAATAACTGGCCATTGCCAGCTGGAGTTCAGGGAGACCCAGGGCCAGGGTGGTCAGTTACCATACCGCTCAGAGACAGGGTTGGCTGCTTTAGTGGCCTGCTGCACTCTCCGTAGGGCCTCCATCCTCATCATTAGACCTGCGAGACAACAGTACAGTGAATATGTGGTCAAACTGAACCAGAATAAAACAGTGCACAGAATTATCCAGGGGCACATGCAATTTAAACTCACTGTTGTAAGATTTCCTGTAGTTAAGCGGGGAGAAATCATTTCAGATCTATAGACAGACCTTGAATTGTGTCCACTCTTCTTTTGGCAAAGGTCAGCCTCTGGCCAAAGCTGTTCAGACGTATTTGGACGGTCTCCACCTCTGACATCTTAGCCTCAAATGCCTTACTGAATCTGTAGAAAGAAGAACTGGTACTTTAACAAAAGATCTGACATCAAATGAGGATTGTAGGATCGAGTATTACACAAATTCACCCAGTTTCATTGGACATTCTATAACAGATGGTATGAGTGATATGGACTGTGAAAGCTGGGAAAGAGTCTGGAAAACATTAGGTGCCTAATGTACAAAATGACAGTTAGTACAACTGAAATATCTCAGGCGAAGCTTGACTTGTATAGTGGTTGTCAAGTGGACCTGTCGATCTGTCAGCTCTTTACCGCTGGACATCATCTGTCATGGTCCTCAGTCCAGCCCCAGCCTCCTGACTCCAGCTCTTCAGCTCTCTGTTCTCCCTCCGAGTCCTAGACACGTCCTGCTCCACAGCCTAGCAGGACCAGACAAACATAAAAACCGACCCGCCACAAGACAACTACTAGGGTCTCCTCTCTGTTGAGGTCATAGTGACCTTTTGATTATATACAGTGGGGAGAACAAGTATTTGATACACAGCCGATTTTGCAGGTTTTCCTACTTACAAAGCATGTAGAGGTCTGTAATTTTTATCATAGGTACACTTCAACAGTGAGAGACGGAATCTAAAACAAAAATCCAGAAAACCACATGATGTATGATTTTTAAGTAATTCATTTGCATTTTATTGCATGTCATAAGTATTTGATACATCAGAAAAGCAGAACTTAATATTTGGTACAGAAACCTTTGTTTGCAATTACAGAGATCATACGTTTCCTGTAGGTCTTGACCAGGTTTGCACACACTGCAGCAGGGATTTTGGCCCACTCCTCCATACAGACCTTCTCCAGATTCTTCAGGTTTCGGGGCTGTCGCTGGGCAATACGGACTTTCAGCTCCCTCCAAAAATGTTCTATTGGGTTCAGGTCTGGAGACTGCCTAGGCCACTCCAGGACCTTGAGATGCTTCTTACAGAGCCACTCCTTAGTTGCCCTGGCTGTGTGTTTCGGGTCGTTGTCATGCTGGAAGACCCAGCCACGACTCATCTTCAATGCTCTTACTGAGGGAAGGAGGTTGTTGGCCAAGATCTCACGATACATGGCCCCATCCATCCTCCCCTCAATACGGTGCAGTCGTCCTGTCCCCTTTGCAGAAAAGCATCCCCAAAGAATGATGTTTCCACCTCCATGCTTCACAGTTGGGATGGTGTTCTTGGGGTTGTACTCATCCTTCTTCTTCCTCCAAACACGGCGAGTGGAGTTTAGACCAAAAAGCTCTATTTTTGGCTCATCAGACCACATGACCTTCTCCCATTCCTCCTCTGGATCATGCAGATGGTCATTGGCAAACTTCAGATGGGCCTGGACATGCGCTGACTTGAGCAGGGGGACCTTGCGTGTGCTGCAGGATTTTAATCCATGACGGCGTAGTGTGTTACTAATGGTTTTCTTTGAGACTGTGGTCCCAGCTCTCTTCAGGTCATTGCCCACTGCACTGAGGCTAGGAAACACTATCACCACCGATAAATCTACAATAATCGAGAATTTCAACAAGCATTTTGCTACGGCTGGCCATGCTTTCCACCTGGCTACCACTACCCCGGCCACCAACTCTGCACCCTCCGCTGCAACTTGGCCATGCCCCCCCACTTCTCCTTCACACAAATTCAGACAGCTGATGTTCTGAAAGAGCTGCAGAATCTGGACCCCTACAAATCAGATGGGCTAGACAATCTGGACCATTTCTTTCTAAAACTAGCCGCCGAAATTGTCGCAACCCCTATTACTAGCCTGTTCAACCTCTCTTTTGTAACGTCTGAGATCCCCAGAGATTGGAAAGCTGCCGCGGTCATCCCCCTCTTCAAAGGGGGTGACACTCTAGATCCAAACTGTTACAGACCTATATCCATCCTGCCCTGCCTTTCGAAAGTATTTGAAAGCCAAGTTAACAAACAGATCACCGACCATTTCGAATCCCACCGTACCTTCTCCGCTATGCAATCCGGTTTCCGAGCTGGTCATGGGTGCACTTCAGCCACGCTCAAGGTCCTAAACGATATTATAACCGCGATCGATAATAGACAGTACTGTGCAGCCGTCTTCGTCGACCTGGCCAAGGCTTTCGACTCTGTCAACCACCGCATTCTTATTGGCAGACTAAATAGCCTTGGTTTCTCAAATGACTGCCTTGCCTGGTTCACCAACTACTTCTCAGATAGAGTTCAATGTGTCAAATCGGAGGGCCTGTTGTCTGGACCTATGGCAGTCTCTATGGGGGTGCCACAGGGTTCAATTCTTGGGCCGACTCTATTCTCAGTGTATATAAATGATGTCGCTCTTGCTGCTGGTGACTCTCAGATCCACCTCTACGCAGACGACACCATTTTGTATACATCTGGCCCTTCATTGGACACTGTGTTAACAAACCTCCAAACGAGCTTCAATGCCATACAACACTCCTTCAGTAGCCTTCAACTGCTCTTAAACACTAGTAAAACTAAATGCATGCTTTTCAATCGAACGCTGCTGGCACCCGCCCACCCGACTAGAATCACTACTCTCGACGGGTCTGACCTAGAGTATGTGGACAACTACAAATACCTAGGTGTCTGGTTAGACTGTAAACTCTCCTTCCAGACTCACATTAAGAATCTTCAATCCAAAGTTAAATCTAGAATCAGCTTCCTATTTCGCAACAAAGCCTCCTTCACTCATGCTGCCAAACATGCCCTCGTAAAACTGACTATCCTACCGATCCTTGACTTCGGCGATGTCATTTACAAAATAGCCTCCAACACTCTACTCAGAAAATTGGATGTAGTCTATCACAGTGCCATCCGTTTTGTCTCCAAAGCCCCATACACTACCCACCACTGTGACCTGTACGCTCTTGTTGGCTGGTCCTCACTACATGTTTGTCGTCAAACCCACTGGCTCCAGGCCATCTATAAATCACTGCTAGGCAAATCCCCGCCTTATCTTAGTTCATTGGTCACCATAGCAGCACCCACCCGTAGTCTGCGCTCCAGCAGGTATATCTCACTGGTCATACCCAAAGCCAACACCTCCTTTGGCCGCCATTCCTTCTAGTTCTCTGCTGCCAATGACTGGAACGAATTGCAAAAATCTCTGAAGCTGGAGACTCTTATCTCCCTCACTAACTTTAAGCATCAGTTGTCAGAGCACCTTACGATCACTGCACCTGTACACAGCCCATCTGAAATTAGCCCACCCAACTACCTCATCCCTATATTGTTATTTATTTTGCACCCCAGTATCTCTATTTGCACATAATCTCTTGCACATCTAGCATTCCAGTGTTAATACTAATTGTAATTATTTTGCACTATAGCCTATTTATTGCCTTACCTCCATAACTTGCTACATTTGCACACACTGTATATATATTTTCTGTTGGATATATATATATATTTTTTTGACTTTGTTTTTTTTACCCCATATGTAACTCTGTGTTTTTGTTTTTATCGCACTGCTTTGCTTTATCTTGGCCAGGTCGCAGTTGTAAATGAGAACTTGTTCTCAACTGGCTTACCTGGTTAAATAAAGGTAAAAAAAAAAAAAAAAAAAAGGATTTTAATCCATGACAGCGTAGTGTGTTACTAATGGTTTTCTTTGAGACTGTGGTCCCAGCTCTCTTCAGGTCATTGACCAGGTCCTGCCGTGTAGTTCTGGGCTGATCCCTCACCTTCCTCATGATCATTGATGCCCCACGAGGTGAGATCTTGCATGGAGCCCCAGACCGAGGGTGATTGACCGTCATCTTGAACTTCTTCCATTTTCTAATAATTGCACCAACAGTTGTTGCCTTCTCACCAAGCTGCTTGCCTATTGTCCTGTAGCCCATCCCAGCCTTGTGCAGGTCTACAATTTTATCCCTGATGTCCTTCCACAGCTCTCTGGTCTTGGCCATTGTGGAGAGGTTGGAGTCTGTTTGATTGAGTGTGTGGACAGGTGTCTTTTATACAGGTAACGAGTTCAAACAGGTGCAGTTAATACAGGTAATGAGTGGAGAATAGGAGGGCTTCTTAAAGAAAAACTAACAGGTCTGTGAGAGCCGGAATTCTTACTGGTTGGTAGGTGATCAAATACTTATGTCATGCAATAAAATGAAAATTACTTAAAAATCATACAATGTGATTTTCTGGATTTTTGTTTTAGATTCCGTCTCTCACAGTTGAAGTGTACCTATGATAAAAATTACAGACCTCTACATGCTTTGTAAGTAGGAAAACCTGCAAAATCGGCAGTGTATCAAATACTTGTTCTCCCCACTGTATACAGTTAAATGTAAAAGGGTCCAATTGTGTCTTTTGAGAATTGTTTGAGAGTATTTAATGTTACACATATTTTAAGGAAGCATTTTGTGTATTCTCTTAATACCGATGGGTGGTGCGTAATAGGTTTTTCATGAGAAGTAGCGCCCTCTGCTGTGCTAACACCACAGAGGTAATTGGCACCTCCCCCTGGCAACAGCAGATGCATCATGCTTCAACAAAATGGAGGAAAGCCATCCTATGAAGAGATGCATTGAGACACTCCCACAGTGGCTGTGCCCCTGCTCCTCCTCACCTCCCTGGCCACCCTCTCCAGATCCAGCTCAGCTGTTCTGTCCTGCAGGCTGTGCTGGAACACACTGGACTGGTACTTCTCCTTCTTCACCTCCTGCTCCAGAGACGAGATCTGAAGCAACAGGACACACAATAGACTCATGGATGTTTCTGCACATTTGAAAATGTCCCTTATCACCAATCACAATTCACCTATGCATACACTGAACATTATTTTACAGTGGTTGGAGTTTGAAGAGTTTTAATTTTTTAAGTCATAAGCCTCCTAAATCACATACGGTTGAGTGAAGTTTATCCTTTTCTCCCCTCAGTTCGATATCCTTTGAGCGAAGCTGGACCAACAACATGAAGACCTTCTCTCTCCAGTGACGCAGAACCCGAGTGCCTTTGGGCCCAGCCTTCAGGAGAGGGTCTGACAGAGTCTGTGGACGTGACAAAGCCTTTACTTAACCCACATACCTCTCAGATATAGTCACCCACACATGGGGGAATGGATATGTATCAAATATCTGACAAAAATAAGAGGAATTTTCATCAGCACACACAAGCATGGATTGAAATGGATTGATCAAACACCTTCTCAACCATCTCCTCCTCTTGTAGGGCCAATATGTCGTTCACAGAGTTGAGTCTGACCGTCAGAAGCTCTGTTGTCACCTGCAGAGCCTCCTTCTCCCTATTCAGTGTCTATAGGAGGAATTCAGATTAGAATATTGACTCCTTATTACATAGTAATATGAAAATATGCTCATACCATACATTGAGATTAAATGAGCCAAGATACACCTTGTTCTACAGGGAAGACTTTGCTGGTGGAACAATCAATTTCTCTGCTTGGTTAAGCACCAACTGTCTTTTTCCTTGCGTGTTTCCTTAGAGCACACAAGTAACTTGATCTAAATCAATGTTGTCAATGAATCTCCCCACCTGAATGGTTTCAGTTAGTTTCTCTTCCAACCCTCTCTCAGGGGTAAGTTGTCCAATGTAGTTTCTAAGACTCTGCAACGTTGCTGACTGGGTCTCAAAAGCGTTGGCCATTTGGCTGAAAAAATAAGAACCCAATAATGAGATACAGTATGTACTATCCATCTATTCATCCATTGAACAAAGCAGTACATTTACGAAGCTTTGGGATCAAATATGACACCTACCTTAGTTGTTCTTTCAGTCCATCTCTCTCTGCAGACACCTCCAGTAGACAGCACTTCAGATGAGTCACCTCCTGTGACAGTTGACATAACCTCTCCTGCACCTCAGAGCTTGTCTGTCTCACTGTGGACAGTTCAGTGTCATGGGTGGCAGTCAACTGCTGCAACTAGACGGAACAAATAAAGAGATCCACAAAACATACACATCGTTAAAAAAGGTCTTATTGATGTGTGACATGTTTGTTAAATTGTTCCAAAAGAAATTCAAACAATCTGACAAAATCCTCTTACCTGTGTTTCATGTCTCCTGTGGGATTCCTCCAGTAGCTTCTTTAGTTTCTGCACCTCCTGCTTGGCCTCCTCCTCAGCCTGCAGCCTGGCTGTATCACCCTCCCTGGTCAGCCTGTGGGTTTCCTGTCTGCTCCTCTCCACCTCCCTCCTCAGCCTTTCAGCCTCCTCCCCAGACTTCCTCTCCAGCATCTCCAGCTGCACACCACAGAGAGCAGGCATTGTCCAATACAAGGTCAATGAAGTTAATAAAGAAGAGGTTTGAGTGGAAGCCTGGGAGCAGGGAATTTATTTGAACCAATAGCTGTTTTGAAGCAGTGATTCAAAATTACAGTCCTTGAGGGCTACAAGCATAGCTGACTTAGCTTCTATACCATTTCTTGGACCATCAATATGTGCATTCGGAAAGTATGTGCATTTGGAAAGTATTCAGACCCTTCCCTTTTTCCACATTTTGTTACATTACAGCCTTATTCTACACACAATACCCCATAATGACAAAGCGAAAACAGGTTTTTGCAAATGTATTAAAAATTAAAAAAACAGAAATACCTTATTTACATAAGTATTCAGACCCTTTGCTATGAGAATCGAAATTGAGCTCAGGTGCATCCTGTTTCCATTGTTAATGCTTGAGATGTTTCTACAACTTGATTGGAGTCCACCTGTGGTAAATTCAATTGATTGGACATGATTTGGAAAGGCACACACCTGTCTATATAAGGTCCCACAGTTGACAGTGCATGTCAGAGCAAAAACCAAGCCATGTCGAAGGAATTGTCCGTAGAGCTCCGAGACAGGATTGTGTCGAGGCACAGATCTGGGGAAGGGTACCAAAACATTTCTGCAGCATTGACGGTCCCCAAGAATACAGTGGCCTCCATAATTCTTAAACGAAAGAAGTTTGGAACCACCAAGACTCTTACTAAAGCTGGCCACCCGGCCAAACTCTATGTACTCTCTATAGTATGCGTTCCAGCAGGTATATCTCACTGGTCATCCCCAAAGCCAACACCTCCTTTGGCCGCCATTCCTTCCAGTTCTCTGCTGCAAATGACTGGAACGAACTGCAAAAATCTCTGAAGCTGGAGACTCTTATCTCCCTCCCTAACTTTAAGCATCAGTTGTCAGAGCAGCTTACCGATCACTGCACCTGTACACAGCCCATCCAACTACCTCATCCCCATATTGTTATTTATTTTGCTCATTTGCACCCCAGTATCTCTATTTATAATATAATAATAATAATAATAATAATATGCCATTTAGCAGACGCTTTTATCCAAAGCGACATACAGTCATGTGCGCATACATTTTTACGTATGGGTGGTCCCGGGGATCGAACCCACTACCCTGGCATTACAAGCGCCATGCTCTACCAATTGAGCTACAGAGGACCACATCATCTTCTGCACATCATCTTCTGCACATCTATCACTCCAGTGTTAATACTCAATTTTAATTATTTTGCACTATGGCCTATTTATTGCCTTACCTCCATAACTTACTACATTTGCACACACTGTATATAGATTTTCTATGGTGTTATTGACTGTACGTTTTGTTTATTCTATAAGTAACTCTGTGTTGTTGTTGTTTTTAATCGCACTGCTTTGCTTTATCTTGGCCAGGTCGCCGTTGTAAATGAGAACTTGTTCTCAACTGGCTTACCTGGTTAAATAAAGGTGAAATAAATAAAAAATAAATGAAAAACTGAGCAATTGGGGGACAAGGGCCTTGGTCAGCGAACCCGATGGTCACTGACAGAGCTCCTCTGTGGAGATGGGAGAACCTTCCAGAAGGACAACCATCTCTGCAGCACTCCACCAATCAGGCTTTTATGGTAGAGCGGCCAGACGGAAGCCACTCCTCAGTAAAAGGCACATGACAGCCCTCTTGGAGTTTGCCAAAAGGCACCTAGAGGACTCTCAGACCATGAGAATCAAGAATCTCTGGTCTGATGAAACCAAGATTGAACTCTTTGGCCTGAATGCCAAGCGTTACATCTGGAGGAAACCAGGCACCATCCCTACGGTGAAGCATGGTGGTGGCAGCATCATGCTTTGGTGATGTTTTTCAGCGGCAGGGACTGGGAGACTAGTGAGGATTGTGGGAAAGATGAACAGAGCAAAGTACAGAGAGATCCTTGATGAAAACCTGCTCTAGGGCGCTCAGGACCTCAGACTGGGGCGAAGGTTCACCTTCCAACAGGACAATGACCCTGAGCACACAACCAAGACAATGCAGGAGTGGCTTCGGGACAAGTCTCTGAATGTCCTTGAGTGGCCCAGCCAGTTCCTGGACTTGAATCCGATCAAACATCTCTGGAGAGACCTGAAAATAGCTGTGCAGCGACGCTCCTCATCCAACCTGACAGAGCATGAGAGGATCTGGAGAGAAGAATGGGAGAAACTCCCCAAATACAGGTGTGCCAAGCTTGTAGCATCATACCCAAGAAGACTCGAGGCTGTAATCGCTGCCAAACGTGCTTCAACAAAGTACTGAGTAAAGGGTCTGAATACTTATGTAAATGTTATATTTCAATTTTTTATTTTATATACATTTGCGAACAAAAACCAGTATTTTTTTTGTCATTATGGGGTATTGTGTGTAGATTGATGAGGAAAAAACGATTTAATCAATTTTAGAATAAGGCTGTAAAGTAACAAAATGTGGAAAAAGTAAAGGGGTCTGAATACTTTCCGAATGCACTGTATAGTTTTGCAATCATGCCATTGTTACTGATTATAGGAAAAACTCCACAGCTGCTGCAAGCTAGATGCAAATAACTGAACTTTCCCCCAGTTACTACCACACATAAAACAGAGGTGAGCTGGAATGACAACCTACAAAAACGTAGAGTTCTTGTGAATAACTGTTACCTGGGTGCTGAGTCTCTCTTTTTCCTCTCTCTTTTGGACCAGCTCCACACTGACTTGGCTGAGCTCAGTCTTAGTCTTATAAAACTCCTCACGCATCGCCTCCATTTCATGACTCTGCCTGCAATACAGGATGTAAGGAGGAGGGTGGGAATATCACCAGTAACGTTTATTTTTAAGTAGGTCTACTTTGAATAGAAGCAGGATACACATGTCAGTAAAAATGTGAATTATTGAATGATGAATGTAAGATCTAGGCTACTAATATGCCATAATGATAAGTCAGTGTCTATACACCACAGTACAATACCTGTTCAGAGAAGTTTCTTTGTCCCTCATCTCCTCTCTCTGTCTCCCTGCAATCTCCTTCAGTGCCTCTACCTGGCCTCTCAGCCTCTCTGACTCTAACCTGAAACGCTCCGTGTCCAGGCTCCATTCTGTCTCCCACCTGGAGGCCTGCTCACCTCTTGCTCCAGACCTGTGTGTGGGGGGTGGGAGGCGCAGGTCAGGTGTTATGTTAATAGACATTGGTGAGAAGTAAATGAAGTGGATTTCATAGGCAAGGCGTATAGGGCAGCACCTGACCTTGCTGTGGAGTGGGCAGAATCCTCTGTTGAGTTCCTTCCTCTGGGACAGTCTCCCTGTAACATCAGAATCCTCTGGTTTTCTCTGTGCAGTTCTAGAATTTCCTGTTTGGCCTGAGCCACGGTGAGCCATGGGTTGGCAGGGCCAGAGTCCGATGGTGGTGTTGTGGCATGGGTGACCCATGTTATTGGTGTTGTCCCTCGTCCCGTTGCAGTCCCTGGTACTGTGATGGAGGCAGACTGGGTGCTTGCCGTGAAATGGGAAGGGGGCATCAGGGTCCTCTGACTTCCCTCTGAAAAAGAATATGCAGTATTCAATACATGAGAATTTACTTGCAACAAGCACGTGACAGTACACCTGAGGTTAAGGTAGTTGCACATGCGCTGATGCTGTCCCAAATATAGAAATGTAATTAATAGAATGGACATCCCCCACATCAGTTAACATCATTTGAATGAACATTCTACATTACCATGGAAATGATTGCCTCACAATACCAGGCAGCCATTTCGAGTATACTCATGAGTTTACCAGTCAAATTGCCAGGGTTAGAGGTTCCAAGTCCGTTTTATTCATTCTATTTCTACGGTCCTAATGGCATCCAGAGGACATCTTCGGCGCACACATGACTACAGGTACGTTTGGCGCAATAATTCACAAGATACAACTTATGCTGCTGTCTAACTTAGTTAGAAAGTTATAACACTAAGTAGTTAGTTAGCAATGCTACTTATGTGCTAGGTAACGTTAGGTGCAGCTGGCGTTAGCTTCAGGGTAGCTAGCCAACTAACTTAGCTAGCTAGCTTTCTAGGATCACGACTTACTTGCGACACTTGATGCCACAAAATCTGACGGGGCATTCAGCTTCTCATCCTCATTGCATCTTTCCATCAGAGAATCGTAAAATGATCACTGTTCTAAAACGACTTACAAAAGAGGATCCTTTCTATTGTACGCGGGATCATTTTCAACAACACTTTCATGGCAACGCGACGCTGCAACGATACTTCCTGTTTACGTAGTTACGTACATGGAGTAGTTGCGTGGGGTGTTGCATTCTCAATGGTTATGGTAAAAGGAAATAGATAAAAAAACATTGATGCATATCGATGATACAAATACAGAGGGTACAGTAAAGGAGAGGCGATGTTTCTCTTTCATTTAGCTTTGCAAAACTGGCAGCTATGGGATACATGTGACATTAGGCTACTCTCTCCTAGGAAACATTCTTGTGATTACTATTTTAAAGTAGCTGTCCAATGTTTCCATATTTCTATGAAATATGATCTATAATGAATTACAACATTAGTTAAATAGTTTTCCTTCCAAAAATGGTAAGTAAGTATGTTTAAAAAAAGCTGCTTTTCTGCTTTTGAATGGCATGGGGTACCCCATAGATGGGTTGGTTGTTTAGCAACAAAACCTATGCATGCACAACAAATGAAATCAAATTGTATTTGTCTCATGCACCGAATACAACAGGTGTAGTAGACCTTACAGTGAAATGCTTACTTACAAGCCCTTAACCAAGAATGCAGTTTTAAGAAAAATAAGTGTTACGTAAAAAAAAAAAAAGTTAAAAAAAAAAAAATATATATATATATATATATATATATATATATATATATATATATATATATATATAATAATATATAATAATAATAATAATAATAATATATATATATATATATATATATATATATATATATATATATATATATATATATATATATATAAAGAGCATCAGTAAAATAACAGTAGCGAGGCTATAAACACAGGGGGTACCAGTACAGAGTCGGGGCACAATGGAGCAAAACAGCAAGGGGTTGGCTTAGATCGTTGACAACATGCAAGCTATATTTCAACTCCAATGTTTATTGAAAACATACATTTGCACAATGAGCACTTGTTTCCTCTCAAATACATACTTACAGTTGTTGGTTAGTGAATTAGCATAGCCATGAAATCAGTAAAAACACCTCAAAACAAGACATGGTATCAAGAACAAGATTAAACGAGCCACTTACGATTCCCCACATGGCAGTTTGTTGTTATTCTTGCTAGCAATCTGGCCATCCAGAATCACAACAACACGCTGACTTCTGTCCAATGGAAGCGTACATACTGTATAATTTTCGTGATGTCAGCTAACCCATCTATAGATAATGATAGCGGCCTCTAGTGGCCAAAAGGCCTTATTAGCATGGGCAGCACCACTGAGGGCTTTCACCATTTTAATGTAGTCAACTGGGTGGGACTTGCAACTTCATTGGCTTATCCAGCTCCTGGTGACCCTTTTGGAGTCATGTCCAACCGGATCATCAGGAGGGATCAGCCAATCGTGAAGAAGAATATTGACCACTTCAAAATAGAGATAGCCTCATTGGCGCTGCCCATGCTGTCACAGACGCTATAATGGCACAGATAAAAAGATGAGTCCTCCATCTCTATGGAGTACCCCAACAACAAAATGGTGTGGGCGAATACCAGTCAATAAAAATATGAATGACAAGTAAACAGCTGATTGGCCAGCTCAGACATTGAGCCAATTAGATGTCTCAATCAAAAACATGAAGTCGTCCTCTATGAGGAAATAGCAAGCATTTTTTAAACGGTTTGAGATGGGGCTTCGGAAGCATTTTTTCTCTAATTTATGCTTTGGCCACAAATACAAGTATAGGAAGAGTCAACAACATTATTTGGGTATGAGTTAACAGATTATGAGCTTTTTAAAGTGAGATTTTCACTAGACAGTTACTTTAAAACATCGTTTCCCACTGAAGTTGCCCACGATGGCTGTGATATTTAAACTCACCACAAGATGAAGCTGTCCAGCGCAGCATCAGCACCAGATACTGCATGTGTTTCGGTGGGTGATGCTGAGCGACTCTTACTTTATACTTGGAACTTCTTTTACAACTAAAAACCATTTACTATATTAGACCATTCACATTTTAATGTTTTAATAAATACATCTAATCAAAGGCTAAATTCCTTATTCATTACCAGCTCCATTTTCCCATTCAAACATTGAGATGGTTTTAGCAGAATTTGCTTAATCTTTTCGAATGATTTCCATTGGATTGTCAGGAAGACAATGCAGATTATAGGCCTATCCTTAATCAGCATTGGTTATGCTTAGGCTATCACACACACAGCCTGCATTTAGACCCTTATATTTGAATTTTAAATTACATGAGACCTGAGTCTGCATCACTCTGTGTCTTTGATTAGGGAGTTTTTCCTAATCAAAGACACTGTTTGGGGTTTCAGGCTGGGTTTTTGTATAGCACTTTGTGACATCTGCTGATATAAAAGGGCTTTATAAATACATTTGATTGATTGATTACACAAGGGACCCGGGGAAAGGCTACCTGATGGGTTAGATTCCATATAGCCTAATCATTATAATGAAATATGCATAATTTTGATTAGACCATGTTACAGATACATTCCCTTCACTTCTTTTCTGCCTGTTTGTCAGCTCACGCGTATCTCCATGGTTGCCTAGAAACGCGAAGACAGTGGGCGCTCCTGACCTTGCGGTCGTGAACGAGCTGCGCGCGCACAAACCGATAGGGCTAATATATTAATGTTAATCAAGAAGACAAAATAGAACATGTGAATTGAAAGTAAATATTTGCATTCGATAAAAAATATAATAATAATGAAATGTGATCATCAATGCAGTGCCATGAAAACGAAATGATATGGAGAAGAGCAAGCCGGGGATGAAGAGTAGGAGCCTCCGTTAGAGCAGGTGAGTCGAAAATTCCCTTTCCATGAGATGAAGGTTTGGCAAGATTTTACTACACACCACGATCCCACATAGCAGGATCATGGGTATTCTTTTCATAATATGATGTAGTTTAATTGTAGCATATTTAAACATAATTGTATAATATTTTGGTGATATTTAGATGTTTTGCATGTGATAATTAGGTTAAACATTTGCAGCGTTTTATTAATCAAGCGCATCCTTGGTGTTTATTTGGAAATTTGGAGGAGCAGTGCTGTCTGTGACTTGGTCTTTTGTGTGAACGTTTGGTTTTCAGTCTCTTTTTCAGTCTGACATTTTTACGCATCGTTGCCTATTACTGGTGAATCAATGCCACCAGCTCACCTTCAACGAGGTGTTCTGTGACATTATCGTCCTTTTTCCCTGTAACGGTGCATGCTTTAGTTTTTACACTAAAACGAGTTGGACTAATCGAACGATTTGGAAGGATTAACTCTGATTAAAATTGCACGGGCGCCGGATTTGGCTATAGCACCTTGCGTGCCTCACAGAGAGGAGAGAAAGAGACTGCTTTATTTGCGCCGCACTCCGGATCTTTTAGCCATCACCATTCTGCCAATGGTCGGTATAATACAATTGGGATTCATTCACACCAATTTATAGGCGAGATGTCAAAGCATGTTATGTGTGTCCAATTAGACTCCCCGTGTAGAGTAATTAATTACAAGTTCTCATTGGGGATGTGGTTGTAATTGTGCTTATGACTGGCTTAGCCAATAGGGCCACTGATATCATTACATTATTGTGGGCCTGTCGCCGCAATAACGGACCTCAACCATGTTGTTTTTTCAAATGCATCTTTAAATGCATGAATTAATTTGTTGCCCTGTTTTGGCCCATAAATGCAACATTTGTAGACTATATTATTGATGTTAACACACCTGTTGTGAGTGTTGTCTAACTTATGGTTAATTGTCTGTATTTGGCATTTTTAGTATATTCGAAAGCATTAGGCTAATGGCCTACACTCAAAGTTCAAGTGACACTGGAAAATGACCATTCTCGTTCTCAATATATTTTCTGAATCAACAGCCTTTTCATTGGGACTGAAAATTGCACACAGCTCAGGAAAATAGGACAGGTTGCAGAGTTTAGTAGCAGACTTAGACTTAGGGCCTGTCAGTATTTTGAAGTGATGATTTTAATGTAAGGATGATGAGAATCCGAGATAATGTCTTTATTTTCAATGTAGGCTAAATGCAGGTTCATCAGATAGCTCCCACAGCATTGCGCGTATAAGAGACAGTGAGTTGTAATCTATTCGTATTCATGTCTTGTCGGGAAGTCTCTTCCATCTCCCCTGCTGGTCTTAACACAATTCTATGTGTTGAGGGAATACACCTCGTCAGCTTTGCCTGGCCTCCTGATTAACCTGCTCAAAGTATAAGTAGCTAAGGCTTACTTTGTCAACCTTTAGCCTTTTTCTGTATATATACATCATGCAATAAATTGCAATTATTGCACAAGTTGAAAATAAAAAAATAAAAACTGCCTATATGGGTGATAGAGACATGATAGACATGTTTTATCATATTAACTACCCCCCACCCACACACACATGGGCCCAGCTACATGTACTACTCTTTTCTATTCATCATTTTTTGAAGCTGTTGCTGTTATATTTACACAACACAGCTTGTACACTTTTGTAGAGGTAGAGGACACAGAGATATTTCCGTTTTTTTGATAGAATCAATATCTGTTAATTCCAGAAAAGAGTAGGTTTGCTTTCATGTGCCTCAATACCATGGTCTATCAATAAATGCTAAAGAAATTGATTTAGGGAAACAAGCTTGTGCTTGCATGTTCTTGGAGTCATCCATACCGACAAGCAAGTACCCAGCCTGATGACCCAGGAGACTCGTTACACTGTTTCTATTGCCTGTAGCTCTACGACACTGTTGTTTCACTATTTTCATTAGGATTTAGCCTACTGTTTAGCTGTTTTAATAGAGGGTTGGTGTTGCCATGCTGCTGTGGCGCTATACTATACACATGCAGGCATCATGGGAAAGAACATGATTATATGGCACTGTACTTCCTTCCATTACAGCTTTCCATCCTTCCACTCAAAGGTTATATCAGTGTTGTTATTGGTTTAATAGACATTTCTGTCTCATTCATTACTGTCCTTTTACATGACAGAAAGTGAATGTGCAATATACTACTAAAGCCCTCACTTCCAGATGCATTGCAGCATACAACATTCTGCCTACATCGATGCAGATGCTTTTTCAGATAGTTCAAATCTTCTCCCCATGGTAATGTCAGCCCACATTAGAACAAATGAAAGGGTGTTTACACCGAACATGACGCTGGAAATGATATCGCCTATTTGTAGAGTAATACTTGTCCCAGGCGAAATCGTGAAAAATAAAGACAATTGAGGCCAATGTGCATATCCTCTGTGATATATATTTACATTTACTTATACAGTATTTACATTCACATTCTGCTGGATTACAGACAATACTACCACTCACTCATCACAGTAGTGTGTTCAAATGGTCCCTTGTGTTCTCCCAAGCAATTCGTTTGCTTTGAAATGATTGTGTGGGTTGTCTACAGGGAGCCAATCTTCTGTGAAAGCATACGGATGATGAGCAACTCTCGCTCTATATATTTAGAAGCCCCAGTTTTCAAGTAATCTGGCAACATAGTACCGTCAGTATACTCAGGGGCATTGCAGTAAGCAACCCACACTTTTTAGTTGAAATGCTGATTTCGATGTTTGCTCACCTAACCATTTGTCTCTCTTGTTTGCAGCTCTAGGTTTCAGAACAGCAATGAGAATTGGAGCTGGAGATGAGTGAATACCTGGGCTTTGTTTATTTGTTTTTAGAAACCATTGGAGCCCAGGGCAGGTTGAGCGATGCCTGGTTAAGTGGAATACAGTAGGCCATAGGGGTTGAGAGGACACTCAAGTGTACATTGGGGTGGTGCAAGGGCACTCACTTGCCCAGACCATGTGGTTGGCAGAGTTTACGCACCATCTGTTGCCTGCACACCTATCAAATCGGCAAGGAAACGCAACCATCGCCACCCGCCGTGGTCTTTTAATGTGGATGTTATGTTCCTACTGGCCATTTACAGTGATGTCCAGCCAGAACTACAACCCGACTGTGAACACCCAGTTTGGGAAGCTGAGGGGCCTCCGGGTTGCGGTGCCAGGCGAGGTCCTTAAGCCCGTTGATCAGTACCTTGGGGTGCCGTACGCTGCCCCCCCTATCGGGGAGAAGCGCTTCATGCCCCCAGAGCAGCCCTCCTCCTGGTCAGGGATCAAGAATGCTACCCACTTCATGCCCGTGTGCCCTCAGAACATCCGCAACACAGTGCCCGAGATCATGATGCCCATATGGTTTACCTATAACCTGGACACAGTGGCCAACCTCATTCAGGATCAGAACGAGGACTGTTTGTATTTAAACATCTATATTCCGACAGAGGATGGTGAGTGGAGTGGGTAAAATGGACCAAAGGGACAATCCATGTTGTTTCCTGTATTGCCCTTGCTGTCACCTTGCAATCATCATGTTTTGCTCATGCAGCAGTTGTCATTGTGCATCTCATTTGTGCCACCCCAAGTTGTTTTCTTATCCAAAGTCATGTCACCAACTCCTCTTCACCCCGTTACAATGTTGGCTCCGTTCCTTGTGTTCCCTAAGGGGAAAATCACACACTGATATAAAACCTATTATTGCGTCAGACAACTAATAATTTAAAGTCAGAATATAGCCAACAACATGGCCTAACCTAACTACTTTGAATGGCTCAAATGTTATGATAAATCAGACTCAGACATTTGTTAGGCCGGTGAAATATGTATTATTGTGCACTAGATGCCTGTTGTTTACAATGTGAGCGCCTTAACAGTGTAAGAATCTGAGATGCAATACATTTATATATTTGTATACTATGGATCTGTAGATCAATATTAACTTGACAAATTCCGAGGTGCTTAATCTCCAGTAAACACTATTGTGATTGATAAACACATTTCCTTTCCTTAAGTATTAGGGCTCATACAATATACAGACAGAGTGCATGTGAAAATGGACAGTGTGCAGCATTGTGAAATCATTATGATTATTATTAAATTGGATGAATATCTCTAAACCCCCTATCCCACTACCTCCCTTGTATAGTTCCTGTGGTGATGCCAAGTGAACTGGGTTGGGTGCCTGCATGCTTCTTCCAGTTTTCACAGCCTTCTGTTATTTCGTAGTCTTTCGTTAATTTTTCAGTCAAAAGAACATCCAAGGAATGTGCCAGAAAACCCAACAAGAAAGTATGTAGAGAAGAAGGTATGTAAGCTAACAAAGGAGTAAAAAGGAGCAAAGTGACTTGGGAGTTGGCTCAAAACCAAGATCACAGCATCATCGTATTTTAAAATCAAACACAGCAGAAACCGATAAATGTTGGTCAGAGGTGTGTGCGTCCGTCCATGCGTGAGAGTGTGTGTGTGTGCATCTGCTGTGAGAAATTAACATCCACCCATGACATGTTTATTTGAAAAGCACATTTATTTATATAATTTTTGTATTTGTTATTATTGGAAAGCCATCTATGAAAGAAATCAACATATTGATGTCAAAAGTTACTGTTTGTACAATATGTAAATCTATTTTTTTCTGAATGCATCATGACAAAGAAAAGGAGAGTATATCATATCTTCCCTCAAATTATGCATAGCCTATGTTTACTACAGACAAACATCCTTTGTTTTTACAGTAATGCCATTTTTGCCAGATTTTCTGAGACACAGATTGGGATATCACTATCTTCCTTCCTTGGTGGTCAATCATGCTATTTTTGAATTCTCTTGTACTTTTTTGTTTTTTTCCCTCCCTAATGTGAATCCTAGGGGCCCACAGCAAGAGTCAAGGAGCGGATTTCTCTCATGGTGACAGTGAAGGTATTTTTGATGCTCAAAGTTGAATGCAATAGTTTTTTTTTGGGGGGGGGGTTTGGAAACTTTTTGACTTTTGATATTTTCACAGACTTTCGTCTTCGATCTCACCTTTAACAACTCAGAAGTGGTTCAACCTTAGTTTATCAGTGGGCATGCCAAGTCAATTATAAGTCACTTTATTCTCTCAGCGTCTTAGCTATTTCACTCTTAATTGATTTGATTTGGACATCCATATCATATTTGCAGTATTTTTTGTGTCATGGACTTTTTTGGGACACTGAATACTGATTTTGTCCTCTAACAGCCCCCTTGAAGACAAATGCTGGTCAATTTGTCATTGATCCCACATTTACTCAATTTGAACAATGACTCACATGGGTTATTTCTTGTGTCTTTGTGGCTATACCAATCAACAAAGAGCTTATTTTTTAGCACTATAAATTGAATGGGAGTGCAATAAATGCACATATACAGTACCTCTTCATGTTTTGAAAAGTGAACATTTTGCTGTGTCTTCTAGGGATCACAGACAGTGCTGTCTATAACCAACTATATCTTATCTCAAAGTCTCCTCCACTACTTCTCTGTGGGTCTCATTGGAGGTCCGTACAAGTGACTCATGAGGATGAAGCTATTACTATTCACTACATACCGTACTGTTCAGAAGATTGACTGTGATGTAGGAAATGGGTGTCCTTATGTTATTTTATGGAAACTCACGCCTTTCTCACATTGACACTGAACTTACAATTCAGGTCATAGGCCTTATTCTTTTTGTGAGCAAATTTGTATTTTGCAATTTTTTCGTTGGGGCGGGGAGAGCGGTTATATTGTGAGGAGGGGTTATATGCCTTATTCTGACGAAAAAACTATATTTAGTAGTTGTTGTTTTAGATGCAGAGAAAATCAGGTCCTGCAATTTAACCACTATTATGACAAATTCATTGATAGGAGCGTGGTGCACAGAAACGACCACCTTGCCTGAAGAAGCATGCTCTGTTGAACATAATGAACACATAGTATTAACCAGATATACTTTAGAGATACTAAATGTGAAAACAGTATATTGCTAATATTAGAATATGGCTCAGGCTCTAGTATAAACACAGTTTTGTGGGGGCAAAACATTGAGATTGACATAATATAGATCCCTGTTAGGCCTGTATGAGTACTGTCCTTGCTTTGCATTCTTGTCTCCATTGGTGCGTCACAACCACGACCCTAATCACCCAAGCACATCTGCTAAAATCAATACCATTACCTTGAGCTTACCTTCAGCTTTAGTGGTGTAAATGTTGCTGAGTCTACTTTCTGGGAGGAGTTACAATATTCTGATGTTGCATTGCATTACCTTGCCTGTAAAGCTTTACCGTACAAATAGTAAATGGCTGATTCTCTCTGCAGACATTCGGAACACTGAGGCTAGGCCTGTGATGGTCTACATCCATGGAGGATCCTACATGGAGGGGACAGGGAATATGATCGATGGGAGTGTGCTGGCCAGCTATGGGAATGTCATCGTCATCACTCTCAACTATAGGGTCGGAGTACTAGGTGATGGGATTCTCTTACTATCTCTGAATGGTGTTTGTGGACATCCTTTTCAGTCTAGAAGATACATTTTCTTCTTCTCATAACGTTGATCTCCCCACAGAGATCCTATTAATATGTAAGTCTATGGATCTCGCTCCCTCCACAGAGTTTATGCCAGTTATTCAAACTTAAATTAATTTGTTACATTTCTATCATTTGCTATATAAGTCATTTTCTCCTGGTGTATAATGTATAATCCCAGGTTATGAAGGCAAGGTCTTTTTCAGGATGTTATTGTATTGAGGAGGGAGTAAGATTAGAAATACAACAACGTCAGAGGGCAATGGTTGTGACTATTCATCACCTACTTGGTGTATACAAGCTACAATATTCCAAAACACTGTTTCAATTACTGTAAATCTTTTTTGAGGTGAATTTAACTAACCTGCAGAGAAATAGACCGCTTTTGGCAGGCCTGGAAGACTTATTTAAATAAGAAGGGATGCAGGAATCACAGCCAAGGTCTGGAGTCTTTCTTGTAGGAGTGACATCACAGCTGTAACACTTCATGTATTTTTGTGCGAGGGGCGGAAAGGGCCTGCCCCCCTCTCTGTGATTGATACAGCATAGTGGAGAAAGCATATTGGAGAAAAGGACAGGTTGCAACTCAAGGAGCCGTGCAGTGAGAGTATCCTTATGAAAAGGTGGAGGAGGAGGAGGAGGAGGAGGAGGAGGAGGAGGAGGAGGAGGAGGAGGAGAAGGATATACTGAGCTAGGTATTTAACCTGCTCTGGTATGGTGAATCTCAGATAAAAGTGTGAAAAGAACTTAATATATTCTCTTCTCTACATTCCAGGCTTCCTCAGTACAGGTGACCAGGCAGCTAAAGGAAACTATGGACTCCTGGACCAGATCCAAGCCCTGCGTTGGATCAGCAAGAACATCGGCTATTTTGGAGGAGACCCTGGTCGCATCACTGTCTTTGGATCTGGGATCGGAGCCTCCTGCGTCAGCCTGCTCACACTGTCCCACCACTCTGAGGGTAAGACTAAGACTCAACCTGGATAGACAGGGCAGGGGTGGTGGGATGGAATGGGGATGGGATAGTCACCAGTGAATCTCATGCCCAATGGGGATGCCTTTATATAGCTTTATCGCATGATAAACACACACAGGCCCAGTGATTCCTCAGCCTGCAGTTATCACAGACACATACTAGATATTACTTTATCTGGTACTTCATCTTGTAGTGTAGCTTCATGTGGAACATTAACATAAATGTGTTGTGGTCTCTAGTCTTGCTTCAGGGAAGTGACATTATTTACTGTGTTGAAACAGATCTACTGTTATCTGCTTTTATTTCTACTTTGATGTTTTTATGCAAAAATTAATATTACTTAATATTATTTCTGTATTATTTCATTCTTTAGTTTTACCTTTACATTATACTATGCATTCGGAAAGTATTCAGATCCTTTCCCTTTTTCCACATTTTGTTACATTACAGCCTTATTAAAACATTTATTACATACTTTTTTTCCTCATCAATCTACACACAATACCCCATAATGACAAAGTGAAAACAGGTTTTTATAAATATTTGCAAATGTATTAAAAATAAAAATAAGTATTCAGACCCTTTGCTATGAGACTCGAAATTGAGCTCAGGTGCATCCTGTTTCCATTGAACATCCTTGAGATGTGTCTACAACTTGATTGTAGTCCATCTGTGGTAAATTCAAATGATTGGTCTGTCTATATAAGGTCCCCAGTGGTGTAAAGTACTTAAGTAAAAAATACTTTAAAGTTCTACTTAAGTCGTTTTTTGGGGTATCTGTACTTTCTATTGATATTTTTGACAACTTTTACTTTTACTCCACTACATTCCTAAAGAAAATAATGTATTTTTTACTCGATACATTTTCCCTGACACCCAAAAGTACTAGTTACATTTCGAATGATTAACAGGACAGACAAATTATCCAATTCACACACATCCCTACTGCCTCTGATCTGGCAGACTCACTAAACACAAATGCTTAGTTTGTAAATCATGTCTGAGTGTTGGAGTGTGCCCCTGGCTATCCGTAAAATAATAAAAGAAGAAAATCGTGCCGTTTGGTTTGCTTAATAAAGGAATGTGAAATGATTTTATACTTTTACTTTTGATACTTAAGTATATTTTAGCAATTACATTTACTTTTGATACTTAAGTATATCTAAAACTAAATACTTTTAGACTTTTACTCAAGTAGTATTTTACTGGGTGACTTTAACTTTTACTTGAGTCATTTTCTATTAAGGTATCTTTACTTTTTTCCACCACTGGAGGTCCCACAGTTGACAGTGCATGTCAGAGCAAAAACCAAGCCATGAGGTCGAAGGAATTGTCCGTAGAGCTCCGAGACAGGATTGTGTCGATGCACAGATCTGGGGAAAGGTACCAAAACATTTCTGCAGCATTGAAGGTCCCCAAGAACACAGTGGCCTCCATCACTCTGACAGAGCTCCAGAGTTCCTCTGTGGAGATGGGAGAACCTTCCAGAAGGACAACCATCTCTGCTGCACTCCACCAATCCGGCCTTTATGGTAGAGTGGCCAGACGGAAGCCACTCCTCAGTAAAAGGCACATGACAACCCGCTTGGAGTTTGACAAACAACACCTAAAGGACTCTCAAACCATGAGAAACAAGATTCTCTGGTCTGATGAAACCAAGATTGAACTCTCTGGCCTAAATGCCAAGCGTCACATCTGGAGGAAACCAGGCACCATCCCTACGCTGGCAGCATCATGCTGTGGGGATGTTTTTCAGCGGCAGGGACTGGGAGACTAGTCAGGATCGAGGGAAAGATTAACCTTCAGAAATGACTTTGTCAAAGCAAGAACATAACTAGAGCTTTACAGTGATGGTGAAAACTTGAATACATTTTGGGATTAAGTGGGTTAAAATCTTCCTAGAAGTCGGAAAAACATAACGAGCAACAATTTTGAAATTCAATATTGGTAAACAATTTCTACTTAAAATATCAAAGGGATGCAAAATGTACTCTATTTGTGGAACGCCCCAACTCCAAATGGATCCAATCGAGTCCTTCAGAGGAAGTGAATTGTTTGGATATGTGGCTAGGGTGGTGGGGGTAGTGGTACTGTTAAGTGATGGCTATTGTTCTCCTCTCCTCAATATAATCAGACTAAAAGCTTTGCCTCTTAAATAGTGAACCCCTTTAAAAGAAACACCTATAAATTCAAGGTAGTGTATGGATGGAGTCTAACTATCTATCTATCTATCAATTTAACTTTATATATTTACATTTATACATCAAGACAGCACATACTGTGCAGCATATATTAATCAATACAATAGTCTTTAAACCTCACTCTGTTTTACACTCACTAATTTATCCCCAGCGTTTCAGAAAGATTTGCTCGTATTTCTTTCTTACCCTCACAAGAGTAAATGGAAGGAGGGTTGTGAATGAATTAAGGAATGCCACTCAATCTGAAACAAAGATAGTGGCATCTGTGCCTTTACATCACTCACACACACACACACACACACACACACACACACACACACACACACACACACACACACACACACACACACACACACACCACCTCCTCTCCTCTAATCAATCAGCCCTTTATTCCATCAGGCCACAGCTCTAACGGCACCAGAGCCAGTTCAGGCCCCTCTCACTGAGATTGTGTGAGCCAGCGTGATACTACAACTCCCTACTACGTTGCACAGTTCAGGCGTGATCTGATTTATCTCTACAGAAACTGCATATCGAGCTCACAGAAAAAAAACAGAACTAAATGGAATTCAAATAATTGAACAGACGTCGGTCAATTAGTTAAATAAATAAATAAAATAAAAACTTATTTTGGTTAATCGCTCAGCACTAATATTCAAATACAGATCTCAAATATATATGAATTTGAATATAGCCTATAGGCTAGAATTAAATACAGTGGGGAGAACAAGTGTTTGATACACTGCCGATTTTGCAGGTTTTCCTACTTACAAAGCATGTAGAGGTCTGTAATTTTTATCATAGGTACACTTCAACTGTGAGAGACGGAATTTAAAACAAAAATCCAGAAAATCACGTTGTATGATTTTTAAGTAAATAATTTGCATTTTATTGCATGACATAAGTATTTGATCACCTACCAACCAGTAAGAATTCCGTCTCTCACAGACCTGTTAGTTTTTCTTTAAGAAGCCCTCCTGTTCTCCACTCATTACCTGTATTAACTGCACCTGTTTGAACTCGTTACCTGTATAAAAGACACCTGTCCACACACTCAATCAAACAGACTCCAACCTCTCCACAATGGCCAAGACCAGAGAGCTGTGTAAGGACATCAGGGATAAAATTGTAGACATGCACAAGGCTGGGATGGGCTACAGGACAATAGGCAAGCAGCTTGGTGAGAAGGCAACAACTGTTGGCGCAATTATTAGAAAATGGAAGAAGTTCAAGATGACGGTCAATCACCCTCGGTCAGGGGCTCCATGCAAGATCTCACCTCGTGGGGCATCAATGATCATGAGGAAGGTGAGGGATCAGCCCAGAACTACACGGCAGGACCTGGTCAATGACCTGAAGAGAGCTGGGACCACAGTCTCAAAGAAAACCATTAGTAACACACTACGCTGTCATGGATTAAAATCCTGCAGCGCACGCAAGATCCCCCTGCTCAAGCCAGCGCATGTCCAGGCCTGTCTGAAGTTTGCCAATGACCATCTGGATGATCCAGAGGTGGAATGGGAGAAGGTCATGTGGTCTGATGAGACAAAAATATAGCTTTTTGGTCTAAACTCCACTCGCCGTGTTTGGAGGAAGAAGAAGGATGAGTACAACCCCAAGAACACCATCCCAACCATGAAGCATGGAGGTGGAAACATCATTCTTTGGGGATGCTTTTCTGCAAAGGGGACAGGACGACTGCACCGTATTGAGGGGAGGATGGATGGGACCATGTATCGTGAGATCTTGGCCAACAACCTCCTTCCCTCAGTAAGAGCATTGAAGATGGGTCGTGGCTGGGTCTTCCAGCATGACAACGACCCGAAACACACAGCCAGGGCAACTAAGGAGTGGCTCCGTAAGAAGCATCTCAAGGTCCTGGAGTAGCCTAGCCAGTCTCCAGACCTGAACCCAATAGAAAATCTTTGGAGGGAGCTGAAAGTCTGTATTGCCCAGCGACAGCCCCGAAACCTGAAGGATCTGGAGAAGGTCTGTATGGAGGAGTGGGCCAAAATCCCTGCTGCAGTGTGTGCAAACCTGGTCAAGACCTACAGGAAACTTATGATCTCTGTAATTGCAAACAAAGGTTTCTGTACCAAATATTAAGTTCTGCTTTTCTGATGTATCAAATACTTATGTCATGCAATAAAATGCAAATTAATTACTTAGAAATCATTCAATGTGATTTTCTGGATTTTTGTTTTAGATTCTGTCTCTCACAGTTGAAGAGTACCTATGATAAAAATTATAGACCTCTACATGCTTTGTAAGTAGGAAAACCTGCAAAATCGGCAGTGTATCAAATACTTGTTCTCCCCACTGTACATGAGGGACATAGAATCTCCTCAACATTTTATTTATTTTTTTACCCACTTTTTACCCCAATTTCGTGATATCCAATTACGATCTTGTCTCATCGCTGCAACTCCCCAACGGGCTCGGGAGAGGCGAAGGTTGAGTCATGCATCCTCTGAAACATGACCCCCAAACCGCGCTTCTTAACACCTGCCCGTTTAACCCGGAAGCCAGCTGCACCAATGTGTCGGAGGAAACACTGTTCAACTGACGACCGAATTCAGCCTGCAGGTGCCCGGCCCGCCACAAAGAGTCGTAGAGCGTGATGAGCCAAGTAAAGCCCCCCCAGCCAAACCCTCCCTTAACCCTCTTGTAGTTAAAAGGGTTAGGGTTAGCTAATAAAATGTTACTCCAAAAGTAATTACAGTTTTATTACACAGGCACAAGAACAGTTTAAGTGTTACTGAGAATGCTAACAGTAACAAAATATGGCTATTAAGTGTCAAAAGGAAACT